AACAATAGGCACATACTCTCGCCTTTATCTACCCCACATACTCTCGGCTCACAGACTTGCATGAAGCTTGCGCGCGTGAGCAGAGCCCCATAGCTAAAAAATTGCATTATCTATTCATCCAAGAAGTTTTTCCCTTGTGACTGTACATCTGTCGGTCTGTCCACCCATCCATCTGCACCACAGGGCATCCAATGTGAAATCTCGCACTTTCTAGCAAGCATGGGAGCCTGCAACCTGACATTACACTTTTATGTTGTGATCAATTGACAGATGTCAAAACAGGGTATCCACTGACCAGTATCAGACATTCATACCGCAGACTCAGGTGTCGATCCATCAAGGTTACATGGTCTTTTGAAATTATCCTCTGACAAGTTACTAGTTTCAACTAATCGTAGGCTCAACCTCACTGGATTTCTTTCCAATTGCTACAAGTTTATTGGTTGAAGTAGATTATAAATTTATTGAGGGAGCTTTGCCATTAGTCTTGGTTGAATCTGTGTATTAGACATAATATGGGATTACACTGTAGGTTTATAATGGATAGTACCACTTACTCTCATAATAAGTCTGTGACAGTTAAAATGAGAAAGGAGAACTCAATTAGCTTCTTATTTAGTAGCCTCTGCGGACTGTTCTTCACTGACAAATGGTTTTAACAGTTGCTCTCCATTGGCATGACTTTTTTGTTTTTGTACAGAAATGTCAGTGATAGGTTGGAAGGGAAACAAACCAATCAAAGGGCTGAAATAATGGTATGAAGCTCATAAATAAGGCCTGTGGTGTTTAAAGTTGCAAAATTGCTACCCATGTTTGATGATTTTGGCAAAGGTGCAAAACTTAGTTGTACAGCAGTTGAGACATTGCTGGTACATTAGATGAGGATAAGAATGAGTGTGATATGAAGAATTGTGCAGATCAAGGCAGGTGATCATGCAGAGAGGCTGGGTCATCGTGCTGCTGTCTTTACTTATCCCATTTTATTGAGTTAGTGATGTAAATCTTTCAAATGTAGTACGGGATAACCACTAATTTCTGCGACTCTCAACTCTAGAAGTTCTTCGTGTTAACTGTTTTACACAAACTTTTGACTGATAGAGGATTACGGAGAAATATATGAAAACTTCTTACCTCATTATAACAGGTTAACGTTTTAGGAAATTGATTTATTGGAAATTAATGCAAATTTAATGGAAACAACTTTCAAATAAAGGAAATTAATGCTTAAGAAAGGATAATAACATTTTAAAATTAAGGCGACGTTCACAAAGAAACAAAACTTATTGAGACAACAGGAACAAAATTAAACATAAGTGAAGAAATCTGGCCATTTTGAGTGTTCTGCACAGTTTTACTGATACTGGCAGATCTACAACCTGAGAAAATACTTCTTGTTCTTACGTGTCAAGAATGTCAAAAGTGTATCAAAAATTTGGGACCAAAATAAGGGAAATTAATGCTCCACTTAATTAATGGTGTGGAAATTAACATTTACTAAAATTAATGCGAATTATAGTAAAGCAAATTTTTGACAATTGCGTTAATTTCATGAGGCATGAATTTTCTATAATAAGGCACATTTTTAGCTTTTTTTCAGAGATGTTCTTCCCCAACCAGGATATATATATATATATTAAAAGTCATTACAACATTTCCTACAAATCACTATGTTAACAATAACATATTACATCAAAGTCTCCATAACCTGAACTTTTATTAATCCAGGTTTATAACAAAATGGTTTATCTACTTTGTGTATTGTGTGTTTTTTTGCAAAGGCTGCTGTCACTGCCCTTGAAACAGCAAAGGATATGGGTCTTAAAACACTGGAAATCAAGACAGACAGCACCTACACCATCAAAGGTAAAAATACATAATTGTGTATTAGTATAACACTCATAATAACCAATCAACTTATCTTAATATGCTAACAGCACACACTCTTTCACCGTTAGGGGCTACAGACTGGTGTTTGAGATGGAAGAAAAATGGATGGAAAACTGTCAATGGAACAGAAGTGCAAAATAAAGATGAATTTCAGAAACTGTCCAAACTCTGTGATGAAGTTGATGTCAAATGGGTAAGCTGCTTTGTTGTTTAGTATATTGTTTTCCTAAGTGCTAAGTGGAATAATGAGTATGAGCCAGTCACTGCTAGAGGCTGTCATGTGTGCTATCATAAAAGAACACTAGAAGCATCTTTGGACTGAATAAACCAGGGCCAGGTTGTTCAAAGCTGGGTTAAGATAACCTAGGCTAAGTGCAAGATTTGAATTTGATATGAAAGCTTAAAAGGTAAATTCAGTTTAATTCGTTTTGTTTACAATTTGATGATTGGATGCTTTAAAAAGAAAAGGGAATAACCCGAGAAATGCTTTTGAAAAGAGACAGAAACCTGGGTTAAAATTTAACCCCCAGGTTAGCACTAATTCAGCTTTGAACAACTGGGCCCAGGAGATTAGCTTCAATATGGCTGAGATATGATACCATTGGCCAAACTTGGTGAGGCGCTTGGTGGGCCTGGACCCCCATTAATATTTAGAGGCCAAAGTCTGGCTGCAGAGGGCACCCACTTACTTGAAGATCTGAATTTGTTACTGGATACAGTACATTGTACTTACCTATAATAGGGACCTACTAAACCTTTCTAGTTGGGCAGACTCTCCGAGGATGTCACATCCTCAGCTAGGAGTTTGAAAAGGGGAGGGACTTCATCAAACTTTGTTGCAACCAACAAGTGTCATTTTTTTGTTTGTTGATTTTTTCTCTTAGACTCATGTTCCAGGGCATCGGGGAATTGAAGGCAATGAAGCTGCAGATAGCCTTGCAAAAACAGGAGCTGACAAATAAAACAAAACTTATGTTATCTTCATTACTGTTTAAATTACACTATCTTGGTTTCAGAAAGGCAGTGACAACAGATAACAATCTGGTCCTCACTATATATTGTAAGACTTACTTTTTGCTTACAATATGTACAGTATAATTTGTTTACATTTATATATTATTATTCTTTCCTGTTAAGACATTAAAATACCTAGATTTGGCCTGTATGTCGCTAATGTTACAGATACTTCAGGTTAGACTTGTTTCCATAAATAATAATCTTGATATCAAAGGCAGTTAATTATTTCAGTAGTGAAATTGACTTATCATAATTGTTTCAAATGTTTTTCCTATATACATGTACAGTACTTATTAAATACATTATTATATAAAATTTATTGTAATTTCATCATTATATAAAAATTCATTGCAGTGTTACAGTTTAAAAGTATTAAAATTATGTGAAGGCCAAAGTTGTTGTTTTCTGTTTTTGTCAATGATCTAATGCTTTAATATGTGTGAAAGTAATACTTTGTGTGATCAACCCACAGCTATAATGATTAGAGACAATATATTTTCTGACAAATATACACTGTTAGATCCTAGCTCCACTGTTTCCTATGTTTTAATTTTGATATTTTCTATTAGGATAGATTTCCACCAATCTTGTTAAAAATTTCTTTTGTGTATCAAAATATTATTGATGCCTGAATAAAGATTTATTATTTGGAATTCTGGTTTCTTTTCAGAAGTTGTTGTAGATTAGTTGTAGTAATGTAAAATTCATTTATAGTATCTCCTGAATGTTGCGGCACATGGACATCTTTCTAATATAAAGATGAAGCCAGAACTAAGAGTGAACCTTCCGTTAATACGTTGCAACGGTAATTGTCCCAAAAAACGACCTTCCGAGGGAAATGAGTCTCACCTAAAAAAAAAATGGACTTGAGCCTGCGATCAATTTACAGTTAAAAACTGATCAGCGAAAAACGTCAAAAACCCATGATAAGGTCATGTGATACTGGTCAGCCGATACCCTGTTTTGGCAGCTAAAATCAAGTTAAACGCAGGTTGGAGGCTGCCACACTGCCTTTGTTCATGACTGGCGATAGTCTCTACCTTTTCAACAGTACAGTGCGTCCACATACGAATGAAATTTGTGTTGCTCTTCAGCATAAGTTATAACAATGCTGTTGCATGAAAACTCAAAATGCTAGGTCGTCTTAAAAAGTATGATTAAATAGTAGAGAACCTAGGAATGAGCCTAGAAGAACGCCGGCAGTAATAGGTTGAGAAAAGTAAAGTCGACCTTGGATCATGACCTTCTCAGTTTGCGGTCTTCAAAATAGGAATTGAACCATTCCAGAGAGATCTTCCTGAGACTCCGTAGAAGGAGAGTTTCTTTAACATGCACTATATGTCGCATGATCAGCTGTTGTAGCTAGTAGGTTAAAAGTCTATTGAGATAATAAGATTTAAGCCAGAAATCAGTCGCGTATCCATGTTGGTAACTAAGCTGTCTACTTACTTATAATCACAGCTGCATCGTAAGTGATAAGAACGGAATGCTGACCAGTGGATACTCGGAAGATTGTGTTTGCTGTCATCGGTACTCATAAAATGGAGTAATCATTTATTAATGATCGTTAATTAACTAGTTACGGAGGTGTCAAATGTCTTATATAAACGAGCGCACATTCTTAACCGGTCATCTTTTGTTAGATCCGGAGGCGACGCGTAACCTCTTGTCTTCACGTTCGTCGCTCCAAGCTCTTTTCGTAATGTCACTCTCAGCCGGCGCACGTCCAAAGCGCGCTCCCAAACCAGCGTACGATCCGGATTTCCTCTACGATCTTCCCTCACACTCGTTGTTTTCAGAGGCTCTAGAAGTAGAGGATGATGCCGACAACATACCGAAAACAAAGCAGCGAAAGCAGAAGTCCTTCAAATCCAAATCACCCACGGTTCCTGACCCTTCGCCGCCGGCAACCTCTTCAGTGGATTCAGGAAACACGCTCACTTTTGAGCAACAAATTCAACTTGTCCAGCTCCAGAAAGACAAGCTCGAACTGGAGTTGCAAGTTCTTACTCTGAGCTCTCGGGAACGCCCCCAAGAAAACACGCGCGGCGGTTTCGCCGACGATGTTACAGAGCCAACCTCCCAACGACGCACTAAAAAGACCCATCGACTGGCCTCACGACTTCGTGCCCAGTGTTCAAGGCGAGTATGAAAAGTTAAATCTTGCAGAGTTTGTAGCCGGCTTTTTAGTCATGATAAAAACGTATGAGTCGCAGCTGAAGGAGGCGTTCCTGGTCCACCTCGAATTACTCATGATTAAATCCATCAGTTACTCCTGGTCCAGCGTGCGGGCTTTTCATAAGTTCGTTGCGAAACAAGTGGAGCAGCGCCGTTTGGAATGGCAAGATTCCAAGGCTATCAATGATCAGGCCACGACCTTTTTTCGCCATTCGGATCTTCGCTCTTCCTCCTCGCAACACGAGATCGCGCAAGTTTCGCAACCGAATTCTTGGCATTCTGGCAATAGCACACCTTCACATCAGCAGGCAGGCAAACCCGGTCTAAAGGCATGTAGAGCGTGGAATTACACTGGTACTTGTGATTGCGACAAACAGGACAGTGCAGCCTATAGCGAACACCATCGTTGTCGGGTCTGCAAAGCGGATCATCCGATGTTACACTGTCCGAAACGCCGCACACCAATTCCGGCACAGTGACAATCAGCTTTACAAGTTCCCAACACATTAAAGTGTATATGACAGAAATTTTTTTATTTGCTTGATAGAATCTATACAGTGTTTTGATAAGGAAAGCAAAAAAAATTTTTCGATAGCGATTTTCCTTCCTCGTGTTTTAACCTGCCAAAAACGTGAAATTTTACTTCCGGTGAGCTACAAAACCGCGCTAGCGAAAACAGAAGACTGGGAATGATTATGACGTCATTTCAGGACATTCTATTTCGCGGCAGGCAAATTACCTGGTCATTTTCTTATTTGTGTGGCAGTGTTTGGAGAATGTTTTTTGAGTTGCTTAAGCTCGAATTTAATTGACTGTGAAAAAGAATAATGAGTTTTGAAAGCGATACGGAAAAGTCAGACGTGGAATCGATCGGGTCGCGCACTCACATCTGCGAGACAGAGCTAGGATCAGACGAAGATGAAGAAGATATGTACTATCCAGATCCAGAAGGACCGTATATAGATGAACTTATTACAGACGAGGAATGGCTAAACAGAATACAACCGAGAACTAGAAGAAATTTAAAGGAGAAACCAGGAGTTACAAAACCGCTTTGACAGGATTGTGGAACCGAGACTTGGTAAGTGTTCGCTCTATTTCTCACCTTTTAGTTATTAGCCTGAAAAATCTTATCGTACTAAGATCACACCTTGCCGATAAAAAGAAAAGGATAAAAGTTGTATTCTTCAACTTAAATACTACGGTCCTTCTTTTTAATTTCAAAGGTGCTCATGTGGCAATTGTGCTCTTGATCGGCTGCAAAATCCCGTGGAATGCCTCTGCTGCAAGGAAATCGAAAAGTGTGTCGAATCACTTGGTAGTACCGCCGTTCTGAATGAGGTGGAAATCAGTCCCGAATGTATTACATTGCATCCAGGTTTCAGTGTCGTTTGCCTTAACAGATGGTCTCTCCGATCAGCCGCAAGTAAATACAAAAGGATAGACGGTACAAAGTATCGTCAGACTGATACAGAAGAAAAGTGAGTAATGTTTTGCCCAGTTTTTTCTGTCAGAGCTATCTCTAATTGCTAATTTACTGTGTTCTCCAAAAGCAACGTTAGCCGGCAAAAGCGCCCGACAGTTGCAACAGAAGCAGTGGTTATTTGTTCAAACACCATTTTAAGAGAAAGATAATCAATCGATTGTTTTTGTTGCCCATTGTTTTGTATAATAGAGAGTTTTTTTCCTGACCCATGAAAGACAATAGAATTAATGCATGATAGCGTGGTCCATTCTACTACCTGTTTAATCGGTTGAGTAGAATCACTATATTACAAAAAACATATGATAAAGAATAAAGCAAAATGTACTTTGCAGAACCCCTAAAATCAAACTTTTCTCTGGGCTTGGGTGTGTGTGTGTGTATGTGGAAGAGGGGAAGGGGGGGTTGCTAGCCACACCAAACCCCACACAAAGCATTTTGATCTCATCTTTTGCTGACTACTTTCATCTTTTCTTACTCTGCTCTACTCTTCAATTCTTGTCCTATTTTCAACTATATTCCACAGTTGATTTGATAATGTTCAGTTCATAAGATGTTAAAAGAAATAGGGATTTTAGAGACACAAAGGAAGGGCACGATTGGAATAGAAATGCATCTGCCACTGGTCATGTGGTAATACTGGGCTCACAGAGTTGAAATAAAGGGCGAGGTCATGACTTGAATATTTATTTTTATGTCTGCATTCTTTTACACAGGTTTCTTCGTGGAGTAGCCTACAGAGAGTTTACTTAACTAGTACATAGTTTTCTTGGGGAAAGCGGATTCCACTGCCAGCAATAAGAACAGAACTTTCAGAAGAGAATGAAGAATTTGTTGGTTTTGAAGATAATGAATAAAGATATTGCCTTTATGACCATCATTATTTTAAAATGCAAATAGCAAAACAGAGTCCATTAACAAATTTTACACTAGTTTGGACTAATATTGACTCAAAACATAAGCTGATTGCACAGAAACTATCTGTATCTTAGTTATCTACAGTCCCAGGGGGGGTACTCGGGAATTCAAGTGACGGGGATGATCGAATGGAGCCAAAAGTCAAGACCCAAAAAAATCCCTAGGGCTTCCAGCAAAACCCAAAAAAATCCCTGGACCAAAAATTAACCCCCAAAAAATCCCTTGCCGGGCACACAGGACAATGCAGACTATTGTATAACACGTGCGATGTAAAGCGACACCATAGTTAACTATTAAACAACAGCAAAACACGTTTGTTTGAACTTTATTCACAGAACTACGCAGCCAGGGCACTACTGATTCTTTTTAATACCCCCAAAAAATCCCTACTCAAATCAAGCTACCCAAGCCAAATTTTCAGAAAAAAAAAAATCCTGGAATCAAAAATTTCAAACAAAAAAAAAAATCCTTCCGACCATCCCCCGTCACTTGAAATCCCGAGTACCCCCCCCTCCTCCCTTGGGTCTACAGTGCGAGGGTGACTTGAAATAATGGTGATGAAAATCTCTCCCAGTCTGTATTAAGCAATTACCAGGCAACTTATTGACTTTGCCTCAAAATAAAAAATAAAAAGGTCTGCTATCACTGTCCACTGTTTTGTCGTGCCTGGTTCCTTGGACAATCAACTAGAAGGTTGTGCCCTCTCATGGGTCTCTAGCAAACAGTGCAATTCCTTGTTCTTCCTCCACTTGATGACTGTGCTGTAGCTGCAGCTGCCTCTTGGGCAAAAACAACAGATACTGCAAGCAAAATAGGAAAAATATATTTAGTCCACCTTGATTGCTGATAAAATGATAATAATATGTAACAATAACAGTAATAATAATAATAATAATAATAATAATGGGAACTTTATTTGTTTTTTTGAATGTATAATTGTAAATCTCGCTACGTATAGGCAATTTACAAATGCTGCTTGAGATTGGATAATTAAAAAGAAAAAAACAAAACACAAAACAAAACAAAAGCCAAAAAAAAAAAAGAAATCAAAATTGCATTAAGTCTGGGCTATCCCAGTTCCTATTTCTACAACAAAAGATGTAATATGTTGCTTTAATGGCTATATTTATCATTTTCTTGATTATAACAATAATATTGATAACAATAAAAATCCCTAGATGTCCAAAAAAATAAAAGATTTTCCCAAAGAAAAAAAGTGACTTGAGAGGGGCAGAAGGCTCAGCTAGCCTCAGATAGGGCTGTGTTCTAACAGCACATGGTGACCCCTAGCACATAACTTCTGCTCTACGGCGACAAGAAAATCTTAGAGATTATAATATTATGCTAGGCATCCTTGATTTCACAGGTTCAGGGCACTGGGCTCCCTTCAATTTGTCTTAGAACACAGCCATGATTATGGATTTTGCAGCCGATCAAGAGCACAATTGCCACATGGGCACCTTTGAAATTAAAAGAAGGAACGTAGTATTTAAGTTGAAGAATACGACTTTTATCCTTTCCTTGTATCAGCAAGGTATGATCTTAGTACGATAAGATTTTTCAGGCTAATAATTAAAAGGTGAGAAATAGAGCGAACACTTACCAAGTCTCGGGTTCGACAATCCTGTCAAAGCGGTTTTGTAACTCCTGGTTTCTCCTTTAAATTTCTTCTAGTTCTCGGTTGTATTCTGTTTAGTCATTCCTCGTCTGCAATAGGTTCATCTATATACGGTCCCCCTGGATCTGAATAGTACATATCTTCTTCATCTTCGTCTGATCCTAGCTCTGTCTCGCAGATGTGAGTGCGCGACCCGATCGATTCCACGTCTGACTGTTCCGTACCGCTTTCAAAACTCATTATTCTTTTTCACAGTCAGTTAAATTCGAGCTTAAGCGACTTTTTATTGATTTCTACTGTTTCTGATCACAAAAGGTCAGGGAAACTCAAAACACATTCCCCAAACACTGCCACACAAATAAGAAAATGACCAGGTAATTTGCCTGCCGCGAAATAGAATGTCCTGAAATGACGTCATAATCATTCCCAGTCTTCTGTTTTCGCTAGCGCGGTTTTGTAGCTCACCGGAAGTAAAATTTCACGTTTTTGGCAGGTTAAAACACGGGGAAGAAAAATCGCTATCGAAAAATTTTTTTTGCTTTCCTTATCAAAATACTGTATAGATTCTATCAAGCAAATAAAAAAATTTCTGTCATATACACTTTAACCTCTTCGATCCGGAACGGACACGGACACGAATCTTTCAACACCGCAGCTGTGGTACGTTATTTACGTGCCTCGCGTTATCCTCAACCAAATGCTTTCGGCGCTAAGGTTTTAGTTCCATCTTCGCTTTTGCTGGCAACGTGGAGAACCTCGCTTGCCGATTATCATGATAACATTGTGGTTGATTTTCTTTCATACGGTTGGCCCATCAACTACACTGCCGCTACACGTCCTGTCTCATCATCTCATAATCATCCGTCCGCTTCAAACTTTCACTCTCACGTGCAAACCTATCTGGATACCGAGCTGTCTTACAATGCCATCGCTGGTCCTTTCCCTAATCCTCCCTTCGCAGACGCCTTTGTGTGTTCTCCGCTTCAAACGGTCCCTAAACGCGGCTCTTCGACTCGCAGAGTGGTTATGGATCTTAGTTTTCCCGAGGATCTTCAGTGAATGACGGTATTCCGCCCGATACATATTTAGGCGAACAGTTTAAGTTGCGTTTACCTGGAATAGATCGGCTTGTTGACTTTATTCTCGCTAAAGGCCGTAACTGTCTCGTGTTTAAGAAAGACTTACGTCGCGCTTATAGACAGTTTCCTGTTGATCCTAAGGACTATAGTCTGCTCGGGTTTTGTTACCAAGGACAGTTCTACTTTGATACTCGTTGTCCCTTTGGCTTACGATCGTCGGCACTGATTTGTCAGCGCACAACCAAAGCCGTCGTTCACATCTTTAACGGGCAGGGTTTTTCGGCGGATGTCTATTTGGATGACTTTTACGGAGCCGAATATCCGTCTCTTGCTCCTCAGGCTTTTTCACAGCTTGGACAATTATTCCAGCAACTTGGCTTG